AGGACTTTGATTCTTTTGTTTATGTGTGTGAGTGTGTCTGTAAACCACATGCAGCCACTGCCCTTAGAGGCCAGAAGAGGGCACTGGATCCCTTGGAATAACAAATGATTGAGTGCTGGTAGGAGCTCGGAACCGAACCCAGGTCCTCTGTAATAGCAGCAAGTGTTCTTAACCACCGTGCTGGGAATAAAGGCGTGCGCCACCACCGCCTGGGCTCCGTGACTTTGATTCTTAAGTATGTAAGTTGATTTGGAACCAAGAAGCCTTGCTTGTACTTCAGGATCTCCAGAGCTTCAGAGATGAATCCTCTAAGGCTGCTGGTGCCTTTTCTTGCCTGTCCCTGCTGCTTGGTGTCAGGGTAAGGCTACTCCTTACAGCCATGGCATTAGATCGGTTCTGATTCCAGTAATGAAGCCATGGAGAGGCCCTGGGCTGTATGAGTCAGGAACTCTCAGTTCTGCCTGTGCCTCTGTGGCGGAGATGATGGAATCCAGAAGGCTAAGGCTTACCCATGGGTCCTCTGCTCGTGACCTGGTTCTTGTGACCAGGGTTGGTGCTCTCACCGAGTAGAATGACCTCCATCATTATCAGTTTGGGAACATTTGCATCACCTGAAGGCAGCCCTGTGCTCCCCTGCAGTCCGTGTCATTTCTCCAGGCCCCTCACTCTGTGCAGCTCCTAACCGCCTGTCTCTCTGTTCACCTGACACTTGATGACAAATTGAGTCGTCCCATTCTTTGCATCTGGGATCTTTCTCTTGTCGTTGTGTGTGGAGGGGTTGTGTTGTGTGTGTGTGTGTGTGTGTGTGTGTGTGTGTGTGTGTGTGTGTGTGTATGAATGCATATACACATATTCTCATGTGTCTGTTGGTGATTTTTAAGGCATTACAAGCAAAAGCTACATTTATGCTGTCTGCATATTTGCCTGTATGGTCACCTTTACCTGTGACCCCTCCTAAAGGTTAATTTTTTTCATATCTGTGTATGTCTGTGTGGGTGTATACACTGGTATTCGGTGCTTGCAGAGGCCAGAAGAGGGCATTAGTTCCCCTAGAACTGGAGTTGCAGGAGCCACTCAACATGGGTTCTGGAATTGAACTCCTTTCTTCTGAAACAGTGATATACACTCTTAACCACCAACCTTCTCTCTGGCACCCACTGCTGCCTTTAAAAAGCAAACAACAACAACAAAAAACCACTTTCTAAGCATTTATTCATTTGTGTTTGTGTGCACATGTGGAGGTCTGAGGACAACTTTCGAGAGTTGGTTCTCTTCCACCAAGTACCAACGTTGAAGCCCATGGGACACCAGTCTACATGGCTGTTATTCCTGTTCTTGAGGGCAACGATGGTGGCGTTCACCTCCTTGGGCAGCACATTTCCACAGTGCAGGAGACAGCTGGACTTGTACTTGGCTGTGTTGGGGGTCATAGATTACCATCTGATTGGCAGCCCCAAAGCAGCTGTGGTTGATCTCTGCTACCAAAGTTCTCACAGGAGCCTCTGCAGAGACAACTGGAGCATGGGGGCAGCCAAGGGGAAGTAGGTACAAGGCTAGGGCAGAAGTTGGTCTAGAACCCTGTCAGATTCATGGCGGGGGGAGGGGTTTGGGGGGCTATGATGGAGGAGGCAGTTTGAGAGATGAGGTTGGCACGGGTTGGGTGTTTGATGTCATACAGCCTCATCGTCCTCCATGAAGCCACAGTCTGATTGCTCAGGGGTGGTGACAGGACCAAGATAAAGCTCTAGAGTCTGAACACTTGGAGAACTCCAGTTCAGACATCTTTCCACAGCCAGTAGTGAGGTAGAACCAGGGTCCTTTCCAAAGCTGTGCAAACCCAGGAAGCCCTGAGTCCAAGCTGCTGGGTGATCTTGCCATGGATGTCATGGCCATGGCCATGGTTGTTAGTGGCATCCTTCGGGTTACTTTGAATTTCATCAGTTACCTTGGGGTTCAGATCTACAAAGATTGCCATGGTTGTTAGTGGCATCCTTTGGGCCACTTTGAATCTCATCAGTTACCTTGGGGTTCAGATCTACAAAGATTGCCCGTGACTCACGGTTCCTGGCACCAGTTTAACAGAAAGTGATGAAGGATTTGGACGCTTGTCTATCAGGCTGAATCCTGTGTCTTAGACAGTCAGGCTCGCAGTAGGCCTTACCCGTCTGGACATACAAACGGACATGCATTCACCCATGGTGGACCCTGATGGTACAGTGCATCTCACATAGTCAGCGTCACGGGTCACAGTGAGACCCTTCTCCTTCATTTTTGAAACATATCTTTGCTGAAATTTTTTGTTCTCAATTTTTTTTTCTTTCAATTCTTTGAACATTATCCCTCTGCCTTCTGGTTGTCATAGTTTCTGGGTCAGAATTGGCCGCTGATCGGGACACACCCAGATCATACCGCGTGGGTGGTGAACTGAGTTTCTCATTATGTTCGAAAGATGCAGGAGCTTCTTGATTGACAGCTGTGCTGCATCCCATCAGCCTCTTGTAAGGTTAGAAGCTGGAAGTTGAACCACCCAGTTGAAGATCCTCCTCATAACATCCCAGTCAGAAAACTGAAAAGTCCTAAGTCCTGCCGTTGTCACTTCAGGGCCACCAACATAGGCACTGCTGTTTGGCAGTTTGACTATAGTATGTCTTAGAGACCATTGAACTTTAAGGGACTGGAGAGATGGCTCAGTGGTTAAGAGGACTGGCTGCTCTTCCAGGGGACCTGGGTTCAATTCCCAGCACCCACATGGCGGCTCACAGCTGTCTGTAACTCCAGTCCCAGCACTTTCTCTGGCCTTCACAAGCCCCTGGAATATACATGGGACACAGACATACATGCAGGCAAGATGGACATGAAATGGAATGAATTTGTTTTTTAAGAAGGATGTGTAGATTTGTATGATTTTGGGTATGTGTGTGTGTGTAATGTATGATTTTTTTTTATCAAATTAGTGAAAAGTTCAGTTTCACCGCCCCAGTATTTTTTTCTGTTCCCGCTTTCCAATACTCCCAATATGTGTGTGTTCATGAACTTGATAAAGAGTCTATAAAGGGAAGAGGGGGTGGTTTATAGCCCAAATTCTTGGTCTCCAGGCCTACTCAAAGAGGTGAGCAGCATCTTTCTCCGGGGCAGAGAGCCAGGAAGTTAAAAGGTGGGGGTCTGTCTTGATCATGGCGTGTCTGTGTTAAACGAGGTACTTATCACTGGGATGTGTTAGACTGTCCAGCTAATGCCGTTGGTGTCTTTTGTCTTTATAGGTTCAATGTCAACAACACGATTCTTCACCCAGAGATCGTGGAATGGTGAGTGCTGGGCTTGTGACTCCCTGGGCTCGTTGGTGTGCTCAGCTCATGGAGGATGGAGACAGTTCTCTTGACCACCCTTCTTAGAGAACCAGTCACGACACGTGGGCCACCGTTACCCATGCTGCTCATGGCCTTGGCTCTTCCATAGGCAACTCCTACATCCACCCAGCACAGCTGTTTTGCCGGGTGGTGGCTTTGGGGTGAACCTTCTGAGGCTGGGGGTAGCTTCTGCGAGCCATTCGCTTTTCTCCCCAGGCCACCGAGCTGCTCTCGGATGGCAGGAAAACAGTGTTTATTGTTGAGTGGCCGCACTCACTGTGGAAGAGGGAGAATGATAGGCAGACTTCCCTGAGTCGGTGCAGAAGGCTTCTGACTTCTAATCCTGAGTCTGTGGTGACATTTCCCGCCTAGTTGGGAGATCTGAGGGAATACTGTGTCCTACACACAATGTGGCTGAGGGTGGTACATGATGAGGCGGGGAGGGGGGGAGGGGGGTTGGGAATCGAGGGCTAAGCAACCCTTTGTTCAAGGACATTGGAGAAAAGGATGGTGGCCTTGTGTGGTCACGCCAAGCCAGGGAAGTGCCCTCTGAGTGGACTGAGGGACATCGTCTCCTGAGAGGAGACGAAAGCTCAGGAAACTTGAAGGACTTAGGAGAATATAGATCAGGTTTGTATTTCCAAAAGCCGTTTTAGCCTCTAACCGGAGACTCGGCTAGAGGCAGGAGTGGGAGCCAGTTGCCACTTGGTCATGGAGGCAGCGGGATGGACAGACAGACTCTCGGGCGAGCTGGGTCTGAGGCAGGTGCCCATGGGAGAGAGGGAGAGACACACCAGCTGCTGACAGGTGTTGATGGTAACTCTGGCCCAGTGCCACTCTCAGCGAGGATGGAGACTGTCCTTCGGGCTCATGGCATCTCTTGTTTGTCTGTCTCTGTAGCTCACTCAGCAGAACAAGTCCTGAGCCCTCAGATTCGGCCTGTGTCCACTCTCTGCCTCACTGTGACTCCCCCCCACCCCCAGGTCACTGACAGTGGGGAGTTGTCTTGGAGACCACAGCTGGCTTGTGAGCTCCAGCATCTCCCCGAGGGATGAGCCATTAGTTCGTCACTTTAGAGCAAGCTCACTTTAATTCCAGTGACATTTGCGAGGCTCCAAGGTGGAGTCTGCACTCATAAGAATATCTCCTCGCCACAGCTTTATTAAAGCGAGCAGCAGAAAGGACTTATTTGGCATTTGATGGTAGTAGAACAATTTCAGAAATGTCACATTGTCCTTGCCGCCTCAGGGGTGTGTTTTTAATAGCACAGGGCCCAGGCACTGCAGTGATACAGTTGATCTTGGCAGATCCATCATAGCCACAGTTATTGCCCTCCTTGCTGGAACCCAGGGAGGGGCTCTGGGTGTGACAGCAGCGGGTCCTTCATCTCCCAGAGCACGTGGGCTTTCTGTGATACTACAGGGCCATTTGGTGTTACATTTTTGGGAGTTGCTGGGTTTTGCTTATCTGTCTGGGGGAGGGAGTGTTGCCGTGTACCTCAGGCTGACCTCAGACTTCAGATCCACCTGCTTTTTCGTCCCCAGTGCTGGGACTGTAGGCCCCTGCCATCACTGCTCCCAGGTCTTGAGTGCTCTGGCTGCCTGCTCTCTCCCGCTCGGCCCCATGGAGGGAATCTACCCAGGGGAGACTGTCAGCTCAGGTCTTTGGCCTTTTCAGGACCACTGAACTTTGCTGTATCCGTAGCTTCCGCTGAGAGACTATGGTCATAGCCACCTTACAGTGAGAGAAGAAGGATTTGCCAGTCCCTGTTTCTTCATCTGTAAGGCTGAGGAAGTGATTTCGGGGTGCAGTGCTTGCATGAGACGAGGGTCTAGCTGGTTGGTGTGTCTTACCAACACCGATCCCTAGCAAGACTCCCCACGTAAGGCCTGTGCTGATAAACCCTGGACTTGCCACTATTTCAAGAGGTCGTTGCTATTGATAGATGAGGCCGCTGCTCTAGTTCTTCCCATGCTACAGATGAGGAAACTGAGGCCCCGAGAGTTAGTGACACCCAGGGAAAAGCCATGAGCCCAGGCTGTTGGCTCCATAGTCGTACACAGACTCTTGTAGCTCAGCTAAATGCCTTGGAGTCTGGGTGCCTGAGTGCCAGCTTCCTCCCAGCTCATTCCTAGCCCCTGTGGAAGGCCAGCTGACTGGAATCCGTGGATTGAGTCTTGGGTTGAGTACAGCAGGACCAGAGAGGGGCTGTGTGGGAAAACATCCCTGGCATCCCCACAATACCCCAGGCCCAGATTAGCATTTTGGGCATGTGGGGGCTTTTCCAGGTCCGGTCTGATTGAGAGGTCTCCTGGCATGGGGAGCCGGTGCTCTCAGGTTTTATGTTTTGTTTTCGGGGTGGCATTCATTTCCTTTGTGTGACTGTTTTATTGTTTTCCATCCTCTCAAGCGGCGCCTTTTTTGATTTCCTGTAAATTCCTCCATAATTGTACTCTTCCCACAAACACACGATCATAACTGCACATTCCTTTCCTTTTGTTCCGTATCGCGGCTGGAACAGATAGGTCAAAAGTTGAATCTTTCTAAGAGCAGGCACGTCAGTGCCATAATTCAGGCTGGGCTTCTGCTCTGCTGTTTTGTAGAGGATGAAATTGATCTGGAGGTAGGGTAGGAAATAAAAGGAGATGCCTTCATCCCTCCCATCGCTCTGTGCCAGGGGCTGCAGCTAAGAACTCACAGAAGAGTGAGTGTGTCCACAGCCGCC